GGGGCGGCCAAAGAGCTTTCTCTGCTCTACACAAGATGCGTGATAAACGCTACGATAAATGGGGCATTTTTGGTACCAAATAGGACGCGCGACCGTCGTAACAGTTTTATATTTAGAACAAACACAAGCGAACAATGTCCGAGAATCAGAGTTCCTTCGTGGTACATGGTCTGGCTTTCAGGTCGACGGATTGAAATCGTGTTCTTTTTCGAGATGTGGCTGTAGTGTCATCACATCAGATTTAGACATTAGAAAAGAATGCACATCTTCCTGAAGTAAACACTAATACAATGTAGTTTCCTATTATCCTGCAACGAAGCGTTCTCTCAGTGAAGATGTCTGTGTTAAATATTAGAAAAAAATTTTAAAAAATCACGAGTCAATGAATACGTGTCTGTCCAGAGTATTAAAAAGAATACAACATGTTTAGACGTTGCTGTATCGATACTATCCAACTGGCACGATTTCTAATTAAACAATTAGTAACAATCCTTTACGTTGACATTTAAAAGGTTGCGATTTTTCGCTCCCAGTTTTCGTCAGACTCGTTACAAATAGCATTCCGTCCCGGGAAGCGGAGACGTAAGTATCACTTGAAAAAGAGTGTCGAGGCACGCACCTGCCGCTGCCGCGCTTGCGCAAGGGCAGCAGGCGCGTTCCTGTCGCACCAACGCGTGCTTCCGATGCGCGCGCGCCACGCACGGGACGTGCCACGCGATTACGCACGCCGCGTTCCTCGCCGCTTTGCAACGCCTCTTCGGTCGTTAAACGCGTTTGGGAAGGTACTGCATCGACCCGATCGCCCGTTTAATTATTCCTATGCTATGAAGTATAGAAATCGTAGGCTTCAGGTCGAACGGCGAACCAGTTATTGACACTAAGCAAGGGGAGAGCGCTTTTCTGTAATTCCGACTACGTTTTAAAGAAAACATCGTACACGTTTGAAACCAACAGGATAAAACTTCCACAAAAACTAGAGAAACAATAGAATATGCATTCTTAAAAGACGCGTTTGCAAGGTAGTGAAAAAAGAGGCTAATTGCTGGACCTTGCATGTACCTTCGGAAGGGACGTTTGGTGCAACAGGCCTCGTTCGAGGAAAGCAAGTGAAGTGTCCTCATTAGAAAGAGGAGGTAATTGCTGCTTGAGCTATGCATGTTTTCCTTCTCAGATTAGTGAGCACACGTGCTCGAGGATATCGTCGGGCCTGGCTAATCAATGGTCGGCAAACTTACGGAAGCAACTTACGGAAACAGACAAATATTTGTTGTGTTTTAACTTACTACCGCGCAGGCTGATGCAAAGCAGAACGTTTGCCACAGTTTCCCCAAAGCGAACAGGCGATCCCGTTTCGTCAGCGCAGTCCATTTCCAAGATACACGCTATCTTTTATAAACAGCTTTGTGGCAAAGGTCTCGGGGAGAAGATTAAACTTCCGATACTGGTAGTGGACAGGCGAGTATTACAAAATTACACACATATGCAAGTGCTTCACTTTTCAAATGTGTAACGCTTAAAAATTTGGAGGAAAATACGTTTTCCAATTGAGGAAAATATTTGTTTGCTTACGCGTGGCATTCTATGTTTGACGGCGATGCATTGTTATTGATCAGCAACAGAAATTTCACCTACCAATTCAGATTACCACGTTTCAAACTTTATGATGTGTAAATAAATGATCATGAAGTGAACAACGACCGTTTCTCTGCTGTTAATATTTTAATACAACCGAAAATCGAAACCACCAAATTCAAGAATGTAACGAGAACAAATACTCCGAAACAGAAGAGTACTTGTACTAAACGTTAGCTCAGCTCAGAATCAAATATATGCAGTTAAAAGGAACAAATATATGGAAAGTGTACGACTATGAGCTAAACACATTTGATACATGGATGATATTAATCAGCTGCTAGAAGAAGCTTAATTGAATGAACAAGATTCATAGTGTAGGAAGATAGGAGCATTATTCTATAGCAACCGATGGGCTAACAATCGTCTCTTAAACAGGCTTGGCCTATTGTTGTACACCCCAGCACATAATTAAATATTCAGAGTACATATTTCCCTTGCATGGAGGATAACTGATACATTCATCGAACCTTAGGCTTTTGAACGAGTTACCGCATACGTCCACAAAATCTTTCTAAATTGAACCATGATATCCCGCAGTTCGAAACGTCCGTTTGAATCGGCCGGTGCCGCCGTCGCCAGGCGACCCAAGGCGTCGACCGTGACCCCGAGCGGGGGCCGTCGCCGCCGCGTCGACACGGCGCGGTGGGCGGGCCGCGGCGACCCGCAGCCCGAGGCTAAGGAAGGCGCGATCCCCGCACGCACCAATGGGCCCGCTGCCTCCGCTTCCGGGCGTTTTTTATGGCGCTTCCGACGCCTTGGCGATCGGCCGTCAAGGTTTTCTTCCGGATGTGTGTGCGTGCGCGTGGGAGAAGACTGCTTTGCGATCGACACAGGCGGGTCGGTTTCGTATTAGGTTCTACTACAATTCGCCTGAAGTTACGGTGGTGTAACGATGATGATGGTTTTGAGTTATCGGCATGAATAATGTTTGTTACCGTAGTGTGAATGTAGTAAACGCAGAATGACACGCGGTGCTTGTTCAATTCTCTATCTCAATATTAACGTACAAGTGTTAAATGCCAAATCATTTACTTTCTTTATCGCTTTCTGTGACTGCGAATGACCAAGTCTCCAGAGGGTAGTGTACGAGAATGTGAGGCATAGGGAACTGGAATAAGATTGATTCGGAGATTCAGAAAGGGGGGAGGGAGAGGATAAGTCATGTCATCTCGAAACTCAACTCACCTGTAGCACGCGACGATGGCAGCTGTGACCATTCTCTTTGAAGCTGCTGTTGGCATGAGACAGCTCGAAGTGCAGTTCCAGGTGAGCTTTCCTGTACTGCCGATGAAGAAAATTGAATTCTTGTCTTCTGAAAATAAAGGAGGAGTCTGTTAATACATTGCTCTATTTCCAAACATTCCGGCATACAATAATATTCGTTCATATTAACTTACGTACAAGGAGGGGAAAATAAGAACATGAAAACTGGAAATTGAAAAAATGAATAGAATATTCATTTAAAATTGAATAAAAGGAACTTGGGATTGAATAAAAAGATACTTGAACAATAGAAATTAGAGTCTTTAAATTAATGTTTCTTATGAAAAAGTTATTCCATAGCTGGCCCAAATCGCTCTACTCGAAATGCAGTCGAATCCACAAACATTTCTTCTAACCTCTTTTTTTCACGTTATCTTGACCTAACTGATTCTACTCAAACGATAATTTCAATCTCGGTTCCTATTACGACTTTTCCCATTTCCTTCTACCTAATTTGTGTGATCTAATTCACACTGCAATATGTCGAAACGACTCTGCCCAGTCTTGTGCAGTGCGTGTGCCCCCACACACAGCCACAGTTGCCGCGACCGCAGGCTCAGCCTCGTTTAAAACGGTCAGCGCCCGCACCAGGCGGAAGTCGCAATGTGACACGTGGCTGCATCGCTACCGACGCCGCTGCCGCGTCTGCTTAACGACAACCGCACCCCCCCTCCCACCCCTCAATGCCGCACCGCACGCACCGCGGCTCGCTACATGCAAGCCCCTCTAGCGCATGCCAGCAAAAATATCACTGCGGTTGCGAAATTACGGTAGAAATAACGATGTCACATAGCATGTTAACGTGTTCGAAGGTAGTAATTTGACCACCTTCTTTATCAGGTTGGACTGTGTAGGAAAATGGAACGTTAGAAATGTTATCTTTATAGAACATATGCTGGAAGTGACGAAAAAGAAACAAAAAAAAGCGGACCGCCCCCACAGAACGATAACGTAACCTTAAACGTCATATGGTATGCAACGTAATGGGCATTTACTTGGAACTTTCGAGAACACGAAAAATACATACTCGTGAAGGAAATTTAAAAGAGATAGTCAATAATGTGTCAGAAGTTATTGTACTATATAAAATAAGTGTATATAATGTTATGCCAAGCATTTGTGGAATTTGAGCATTCGACCTATTGCCTATTTCTGTTTAATTGACATACATAGCCGCGTTATCCACCCCGAAGTCTCTCATGCAGGTGTTTTGTTCCAGAAGCACGGATTCTTTCCCGGCGATTTGCAGGTACACCCCCTACTTGCGTTTACGTAACCGCGCACATTGCGTTCAGCGAGATCGTGTACTTCGAAGCACCCTCCCAGACTTATCCTCGCGACTTATCACCCGCACGTGCGTGCGTGCGTGCGCCAAGCACTCTGCGTGTCGCACGTGTCGCACTTCGCATGCCACACTCGCCGCGTGCCTTAGCCGCCACCGCGGCCACCGTCGGAGGCGAGAACCTGCCCCCTGCGAGAAGCACAACAACGCACCGGCGATACACACACGATTCGCCCCGCCCCCCGCCCTCCCTCGGAAGTCGAGTGACAGGTCAGAGGCGGCCTTTCGACACGGCCGGGGAAGAGAACGTATTTGTTGTGAGAGAGAAGCACGAGGCGCTAGGAAAGCTTTAGAATGAGGTGGGAAGTTTTTTTTCTTCTTCAGTGGAGGATGTGAGTAGTCGTTAAGGTGTTGCTGTCAGGAATCACGATCTTACCACACGTTTTATAAAAATTATTTTTTTGGAATATGGATTCAGATAATGCAGTAAAGAAGCAAACAAAAATAATATGTTTCATTTTCACTGATTTAAAGAGAATTTAACACAGATTGGGCAAATACTTGCGTTGTTTTTGTATTCGAACTACAGAAGAGGACGTGATTCCATAACAGCAACGCGCCAACACAAAAACCGTGAAAACACCGACTCACCTAAAGCTATGACATGATGCCGCCGTTGCTGCCGCTTCTTCTGCATCTCCACTCGACTCGCAACACGGCTGACCGGCCGTTCACGCCAGCCGTTGCCATCGCCGCCACCGTGTCAGCCACTCCTGCCACGGCGCGAAAATCAGTCTTGCTGCTGTTCCAACGGATGCTGCTGGCACTACGGCTGCTGCTACTGCCGCTACGACTACTACTTCATCTAGGGCGAGCGGGTGGCGCCGACGGGCGCGGGGGCGTCGCGGCGGGGAGGCGGCGGCGGGGGCGGCGG